AGCACTGTCGGAGCCACGCGGGCCCTGATCCCCCCCACGGGGGAACCCGCCACGCGGCGATACTTCTCCAACGTCGCCAGCAAGCTCTCCATTGGGTTCTTCGACTCCTCCTTCAGCTGCACGATCTGGTCCTTCAGGGGGTCATCGAGCTCGCCCAGGTCTCCAACCTTCTCCCAGGACGCGGCACTCGAGCTCGGCGTGGGCGACCCTGCCTGCGCTCGGGTGCTCAAGCCCGAGTCCCGCTGCACCAGCTCCTCGTGCTCCGTCAGCTTCTTGATGAACGCATCCACCTCGGCCGAGCTGGGGTCGTCTCCTCTGGACGGCGGCGGTCCCGCAGGGGGCGGGGGAGGCGGGCCTGGCTCCGACGCCAGAGCCCCACTGCCGCAGGCAGGTCCTGCTCCCGCTCCGCCCCCGACATCCAGCCTCGACTTCAGCATACCCACAGCGTCGGCCAAGTCAGACTGACCGCGAGCCAACTCCGCGAACAGGGTCTTGGTGTCCCGCTCGTCGCCACTCACGTCACTCACGTCATCGCTGGCGTGCACCGACCCGCCGTCCGAGTCCGAGCCCGAGTCGCTGTCCGAGTCGACCTCCTTTCGGCACGAGCATCCGTATGCCCAGATCCCGTAGATCACGATGAGCCCGCAGCCCAGGTATGCCGCGCACAGCTCGAGGTCGCCCGATTCGTACAGCTCCCCCAGGAACTCGCGGAAGTTGTCCAGGTCCTCGATCGCCTGCATCCCCGCCGAGACGGTGTGGTATCCTGCGGCGAAGAAGGACCCGAGATGTAGCCAACGCCACAACCTCCAGCCCACAAAGAACACCGCTGCAGCACCACCCCACGTCTTGTGGGCCCACGCCGTCACCACGGTGGTCACGAGGCCCTTGCCGAACCAGGACGCCACCTTGGCCTTCGAGCTCGCCTTCTTGCCCTTCGTCTGGTTCGCCTTGGCACTCTCAGCACCAGCCTGTCCCAGCTCATGTCGCACAATGAGCCGCTCCGCGGCTATGATCGCCTGCTCTCTCTCCTTCTCATTCAGCCCTGGGTGCTCGGTCCAGGTCACTCCCTTCTTCGGGCGCGGCAGCATCCTCGCCTTGTCCCGCAAGTTGATGATCTGCACCCGCTTCGCGGGGTCGATCGCGGTCCAAACCAACGAGGTCCCTGGACCGACACGACTGACCAGCAGCATCACCACCCCCGTGTTCCTCCCTTGCGCCTGGACGTAGACGCGGTTCCACCTGCTCCACGGCGCCATGAATCCCGCTGGCGCCCCTCGCCACTCGGCGCCTCCTCCGAGGTCGAGGGGCTCGATGAGGATCTCCTCGGCCTCCTGCTGGCGCCCGCCGAAGACCTCCAGCAGCCCGTCCAGCTCGCAGAGGGCGAGTGCGGTCACCAGCAGCCAGCCGGGGCGCCCGATGGCCGGCGTCGTGGCGGCGCCCGAGCCTGGCGGGCTCGGGGCGAGCAGAAAAAAAATTAGAATTTACGAAAAAAAAAAAACAATAAAAAAAACAAAACAAGAGAGAAAAAAAAGCGAGCGGGGGCTGGAAGCTACCCCTCTCTGAAAAAAAAAAAAAAAAAGAAAAAAAAACAAAACTAGCCTCCTATCAAGAGCAAAAAGAAAAAAAAAAAAACTGAAAAAAAAAAAAAAAAAAAAGGCTCGAGTGCGGCCTCCGCCCGCGAAACCCAACGCCCCTTCGCAGCCGAAACTTTGCGCCAGGGGAGGAGGGACAAGCACGAGAGAGACTGCGCTACTCCTCCTCCTAATTTTGCAGTTGAGGCGGCTATCTGAACGTTTACAGGGGGTGTGTAAAAGTGTGTTTAAAAACGCGTATTTGGAGAGATCCAGGCCGGGAAAGCTCGAAATCGTGGTTCCCAGCTCTGGCTGGCGCCCCTGGGGCCCACGGCGGCCCCGAGGATGGCGGGAACCACGATTTTGGAGAGATCCAGGCCGGAAAAGCCCGAAATCGTGGTTCCCAGCTCCGGCTGGCGCCCCTGGGGCCCACGGCGGCCCCGAGGACGGCGGGAACCACGATTTTGGAGAGATCCAAGCCGGAAAAGCCCGAAATCGTGGTTCCCAGCTCTGGCTGGCGCCCCTGGGGCCCACGGCGGCCCCGAGGATGGCGGGAACCATGATTTTGGAGAGATCCAGCCCGGAAAAGCCCGAAATCGTGGTTCCCAGCTCTGGCTGCCGCCCCTGGGACCCACGGCGGCCCCGAGGATGGCGGGAACCATGATTTTGGAGAGATCCAGGCCGGAAAAGCCCGAAATCGTGGTTCCCAGCTCTGGCTGGCGCCCCTGGGGCCCACGGCGGCCCCGAGGATGGCGGGAACCACGATTTTGGAGAGATCCAGGCCGGAAAAGCCCGAAATCGTGGTTCCCAGCTCTGGCTGCCGCCCCTAGCACCCACGGCGGCCCCGAGGATGGCGGGAACCACGATTTTGGAGAGATCCAGGCCGGAAAAACTCGAAATCGTGGTTCCCAGCTCTGGCTGGCGCCCCTGGGGCCCACGGCGGCCCCGAGGATGGCGGGAACCACGATTTTGGAGAGATCCAGGCTGGAAAAGCCCGAAATCGTGGTTCCCAGCTCTGGCTGGCGCCCGGGAACCACGATTTTGGAGAGATCCAGGCCGGAAAAGCCCGAAATCGTGGTTCCCAGCTCTGGCTGGCGCCCCTGGGGCCCACGGCGGCCCCGAGGATGGCGGGAACCGCGATTTTGGAGAGATCCAGGCCGGAAAAGCCCGAAATCGTGGTTCCCAGCTCTGGCTGGCGCCCCTGGGACCCACGGCGGCGAGGATGGCGGGAACCACGATTTTGGAGAGATCCAGGCCGGAAAAGCCCGAAATCGTGGTTCGCAGCTCTGGCTGGCGCCCCCTGGGGCCCACGGCGGCCCCGAGGATGGCGGGAACCACGATTTGGGAGAGATCCAGGCCGGAAAAGCCCGAAATCGTGGTTCCCAGCTCTGGCTGGCGCCCCTGGGACCCACGGCAGCCCCGAGGATGGCGGGAACTATGATTTTGGAGAGATCCAGGCCGGAAAACCCCGAAATCGTGGTTCCCAGCTCTGGCTGGCGCCCCTGGGACCCACGGCGGCCCCGAGGATGGCGGGAACCACGATTTTGGAGAGATCCAGGCCGGAAAAGCCCGAAATCGTGGTTCCCAGCTCTGGCTGGCGCCCCTGGGACCCACGGCGGCCCCGAGGATGGCGGGAACCACGATTTTGGAGAGATCCAGGCCGGAAAAGCCCGAAATCGTGGTTCCCAGCTCTGGCTGGCGCCCCTGGGGCCCACGGCGGCCCCGAGGATGGCGGGAACCACGATTTTGGAGAGATCCAGGCCGGAAAAGCCCGAAATCGTGGTTCCCAGCTCTGGCTGGCGCCACTGGGACCCACGGCTGCCCCGAGGATGGCGGGAACCATGATTTTGACGAGATCCAGGCCGGAAAAGCCCGAAATCGTGGTTCCCAGCTCTGGCTGGCGCCCCTGGGGCCCACGGCGGCCCCGAGGAACCACGATTTTGGAGAGATCCAGGCCAGAAAAGCCCGAAATCGTGGTTCCCAGCTCTGGCTGGCGCCCCTGGGGCCCACGGCGGCCCCGAGGATGGCGGGAACCATGATTTTGGAGTTCTCTGCTGTTCTGCTGCTGCTCTCTGCTGTTCGCCTGCTGCTGTCTGCTGTTCTGCTGCTGCTTTCTGCTGTTCTGCTGCTGCTCTCTGCTGTTCTGCTGCTGCTGTCTGCTGTTCTGCTGCTGCTGTCTGCTGTTCTGCTGCTGCTCTCTGCTGTTCTGCTGCTGCTCTCTGCTGTTCTGCTGCTGCTCTCTGCTGTTTTGCTGCTGCTCTCTGCTGCTCTCTGCTGTTCTGCTGCTGCTCTCTGCTGCTCTCTGCTGTTCTGCTGCTGCTCTCTGCTGCTCTCTGCTGTTCGCTGTTGTTCTGCTGCTGCTGTCTGCTGTTCTGCTGCTGCTCTCTGCTGCTCTCTGCTGTTCTCTGCTGTTCTCTGCTGTTCTCTGCTGCTCTCTGCTGTTCTCTGCTGTTCTCTGCTGCTCTCTGCTGTTCTCTGCTGCTCTCTGCTGCTCTCTGCTGCTCTCTGCTGCTCTCTGCTGTTCTCTGCTGTTCTCTGCTGTTCTCTGCTGTTCTCTGCTGCTCTCTGCTGCTCTCTGCTGTTCTCTGCTGTTCTCTGCTGCTCTCTGCTGTTCTCTGCTGCTCTCTGCTGTTCTCTGCTGCTCTCTGCTGTTCTCTGCTGCTCTCTGCTGCTCTCTGCTGTTCTCTGCTGCTCTCTGCTGTTCTCTGCTGCTCTCTGCGTGTCTGGGCTCTACTGCTCTCTGCTTTCGCATGCTGTTCTCTGCGTTCTCGTTCTGCTGGTCCCTGCTGTTCTCTGCTGGTATTTGCTGGTCTTTGCCAACATAAACACGATGCCGCTGCTCTCTGCCACTATCCGCTGCTCTCTGCTGCTGTCTGTTGCTCTTTCCTGCTCTCTGCTGCTCTCTGCTGCTCTCTGCTGCTCTCTGCTGGTCTCTGCTGCTCTCTGCTGTTCTCTGCTGTTCTCTGCTGTTCTCTGCTGCTCTCTGCTGCTCTCTGCTGCTCTCTGCTGTTCTCTGCTGTTCTCTGCTGCTCTCTGCTGATCTCTGCTGTTCTCTGCTGCTCTCTGCTGTTCTCTGCTGCTCTCTGCTGTTCTCTGCTGATCTCTGCTGTTCTCCCTCTGCTGTTCTCTTGCTGCTCCTGCTGTTCTCTGTTGCTCTCTGCTGTTTCTCGTGCTGTTCTCTGCTGTTCTCTGCTGTTCTCTGCTGCTGTCTCTGCTGCTCTCTGCTGTTCTCTGCTGCTCTCTGCTGTTCTCTGCTGTTCTCTGCTGTTCTCTGCTGTTCTCTGCTGTTCTCTGCTGTTCTCTGCTGTTCTCTGCTGTTCTCTGCTGTTCTCTGCTGCTCTCTGCTGCTCTGGATTGGTTTTCGCTCGGTTGGTTTTCGCTTGAACGGATTACCTTTTCGCTCGAACGAGCGTCTTTTCGCTTGAACGATCCACCCTCATGCACACACACCGATTCTGGCCAGGCCCCTCCTGAGCCCAGGATCAGTGCATGCGCCATCCTGCCTTGGCCAGGAAGGCATGTGCACCGATCCTGGGTCGAGCATGGGCCTTGCCAGGACCGGTGCATGTGCATAATTCTCTTCGCCCGAAAAAGAAGGTAGAGGCTCTCGGCACAGACTCGGCACAAGTATTCAAAAGCTGCTCCACAGAATGTACGCTGCCAAGGCTCCCCTACCACCTTCCACTGCCCATCACAGGTCGAACTTCTCTCGCAAGATCCTCATTATAGAATCCAAATGCTTGTCATGCTGTGCATGATTTGATTTTAATTCCGCGTGCAATTTTTGAAGGTCAAAATTAGTGGCAACTCCTCTGAGCACCATACAGCCGTTGACAAACGTGTGAATGTCAACCTGCCCATCGCCACCGCTATCTTCGGCCATTAACTTGAAGAATTCAACGAGGTGGTGCCTTTGGAGCCCCAAGCTCTTGAGCAGCAGCGGTATGTGGTTCTTCTGCAGGCCGTTCTCGAACTGCTCTCGTGTCAATTTTCCGGACTCGTCTGTGTCGACGGCGCGGCAGAGGCGGTCGAGCTTCTGGGCATCCACCCACTCCTGTTGCGAGAGCTCTCGGGCGAACACCTCCGGGTCTGGCTTGAGAACCGCCATTGCCGATTCCACGAAAATGCCCGTGATAATGTTCATGAGAGCGAAATTAACGAAAATTATGAAGATCAAGTATATAACACTCCCCATAACGCCAGTCGTCTCGATCTGTTCGTACGCCACTTCCCAGCCAAGGCCACCAGTGCATGCCATATGGAGCGTCAACATTGCCCGTGCGATCGATCCGAATGAATCAAAGAAAAAGGTCTCCTCCACAACCTTACCTGTCTCGATAAGGTGTCCAGCAATGATCTGCACCAGGAAGAGCGCGAAGATGCTGTAGACCAGAACAACCATAAATAGACTCCACATGAGGCTCGATATCGAGCCCTGTATGCAAACCATGAGAGCTCGCAAATGCTTAAAGTGGGTCATAGCCCTCAAGACTCGACTCGCCCTCCCGATCTCAAGAATACGGAGCACTCTCAAGAAGCTAACCGAACTTCTTGCTGTGACCAATGAGAGGAAGCCTAAACACACCAATGCCAATTCAAATACATTGATCCTCCATGACGGGCTACAGAAGAACCAATGACGAAACACCCAGAGCTTCATCGCCATCTCGATCGTGTAGATCGCCTGGAAAACACAATCGCCAGCAAACGCCCAGGAGTCGTCACGATACGGATCCTTGATCTTCGCGTCGGCAACATACATCATCCAAACAGAATTGATGATGATGGTGACGGTGATCGCCCCGTCGAAGACCTTGCCCGTGGTGAAGTGAGCGACGCGCCCAACGGGGGCGGGCGGCTCAATGTTCTGCAGCCAATCCCAAAAATCAGCAGCCTTCTGCCTCAGGCGGTGACCGAAGATCATGTCACCGACCTCGGGGCCGAAGCATTCGGGGATGGTTGAGGTGACGGACTTCACGAACTTGGAGAAGTGGGCCACCGCCGCGGCATCCATACTCGCGGACGATTCGTTATCCGAGTTGCGGCCAGACCCCACAGAGGCGACCCCCAGACTTCCCCATTCCTTGTGCGGCTGTGCGCCGATGTCGACGCCACTGCCTGGTGCCGAGGGCGCCTCTGGAGGCGTCCCCTTTGGATTCGAGGGCGCCCGAGGCCCAGCCCTGGAAGCCAGCGCCTGCCCCGCACAGTCGCTGGTCGCCACGCGCTTCGAATGCTCCGGCACGGAGCTCTTGCTCGCTTGGCTCCAGCGCCACAGGGCGGCCTCCACCTCGCTCCGCATGGCGTTGCGCATGCACCCGCCCTCCACGAGGAGGTCGATCAGCTCGTCGTGCACGGCCGAGCGGAGGGCATCACGCTCAGGCTGGGGCGATCCTTCCATGACGCCCCGTCTGCACGGTACGTGGCACTTCCCCCGGCCCGGCAGCAAGCGTCTTGGACCGAGTCGCACGCAAAATAAGGGGCACAAAAATAAGTCAACGTACGTCGCAGGAGTCCCCATCTCTGTCGATGTGTTCTGGAACTTCGTCGTCCCCTTCCACTTCCCATAGTGTCCATATTTCCCTGGATAGCGACGTTTGTGTGTCTCTGGGTTTTCCCTTCCAGAAATGAGCCAGGTCATCACTCGGGCCTCCCAGGCATCGCCTAAAGTGACTCGACCAACCCGAACGCTGACCATACCCCTCTTTGATCCCGACTTCAGACCTCCGACGCCATGATTCGTTCGACACATAAGAAGAAGCCGGGACGAGAATAACTTCGGGTGACAATAAATCGAGAATCTCTGAAATCTGGCGGCTCTGGATGTCTCGGGCGCCGCGGCCTTCTCAGAGCGTTCCGGAACGCTCGGAGACCGTTCCAGCAGGCTCAGGAACGGATGTATCATCGTCCTAGCCTTAAGTCGGGCCTGTCCCCCTACAGGGGGATTTTCAACGAAAAATGAAAAATACCCCAAAAATAATCCAAAAATAATCCAAAAATGGTCTAGGGACTATTTTTGATGATCATTTTGCCTCTTTGGGGCATTTTTGAAGTATTTTTCATTTTTCGTCGAAAATCCCCCTGTAGGGGGACACGCCCGACTTAATCCTAGCCCCGTCCGATCATGCCCTGTTTTGATCCCGAACCAGACCTCCGAGACCACGACGTGTCCGACACGGGGTCCACGAGAGTCTGGACCGCTTGCCGGGGACCGTTTCTTCTTCCCGGCTCGTTCTCTCGAGGGTCCCGGGGCCCGGCGAGGGGCCCCAAACGCCGAAAACGATGCAAAACCTCCATCTTGATTTTGCCAATACGTTTCGGCTGCGCGCAAGCTCTCAAAAACTGATCCTGAAGCCTGGAAACCAAATCCTCGAGGAAGGAAACAGTCCATCGCTTATTCTATCGTTGTAACGTCTATTCTCTTCGTCGAAAAGGCGCGGAACCCTTGGCCAGAGTGGCCTGTGGTGCGCGACTCTCGGGGCCGCGGGCAGGCCCAACCCGAGCGCGCAAGACGCTGCCATCGCATCGCGTTCAGCCATCTGGTCGGAGGCGACGACAGAGGCGAGCAGCCCAGGGGCCGGGAATGGCACGCAGACCCAGGAGCATCGCCGAAAACATGGACCATCGGCGCCCCTGGATACATACACCCTGCGAAATGCTTAAGAAATCATGGGTTAAGAAATTCATAGTCTCAGAAGTTGAATAAAAAACCCAAAATTATATTCAAATCTTAGGGTTTACATTGAAACATTAAGAATAAACGAGACTCTGGCCGAAAAAATAAGTTTTCTTAAGCATCGCCTAAGGTGTATACTGCTCTCGCCTGGGCTATTCGCCCCCATCGTCGCCTCCGATCTGGGGACGCCAGTGTGCCCGCACCGCTCGCCGTCGCTCAGACGCCCATTCCCCGCACATGCTTCGGCCTCGCGCGTGCTCTTGGTTAGCACTGTAAAAAAACCCCTGGCCACTTTGGGAGGGGACCTAAGTTAGGAGGGCCAAAACATTTGGGATAAGAGGGGGCTCTTTCTGCAAATGCTTCGGGCCAGACAGCCCCGATCCGTGACCCCTGGTGCAAAAAGACGGGGACCTCGGTGAGGCCACGCCTTCACCGTACTCTCAGGGCTCAGGGGTCCTGTTGCGTCTCCTCGAGGAGCTCCGTCTCTGCTCGAGGACCCGGGCTGCTCCTCGACGCTCCCCGCCGAGACAGAAACAGCGCACGGGCCCGAGCGAGGCCGAGACCGGAGGCCGCCCCCCGCGAGCGGGGCCCGCCCCTGCGCGCCGCGCCGACCTCGTCTCTGTCGGGAGGCCCCCCCCCGGGCCCCCCCGCGGGCCTCTCCGTGGCGGTGCGCAGCTGCCGGCTCAGCGTCGACACCTTGCTCGGGGGAGGGGCCGCCCCGAGGCGCGCAGCGCGCGCCACGCGCGGCGCGCGGCCCGCGGAGCTCGCAGCACGCCGACGGAGCACGTCGCGACGGAGCAGTCCACCCGAGCAGGAAGGATGCGCGGTGAGGGGGCGAGGGCCACGTCTGCAGGCCGCTCGGACGAGGCCGGCCAGCGCGAGCGGCCAAGGATGGGCCGAGGAGGCAAGGATGCAGGGGCGCCCTTGCGGAGGCTGCCAATCCTTACGGTTCGGGTCGACTGCACGACGCGATGCGTTCGCCAAGACGCGGGCCAACGCGATGAGCCAACACGCAACGTAATTATTGACACGGACGTGTTGGGCACGGCACGTGAGGCAAGCCCAGAATCGAATCGAGAAGTCGGATCGGCAATCGAAACGAATCGGATCGGCGAAGATCGGCAGCCAGGTCGGGGGGAATCGGCCTCCGCGGAGAAATCGGAACCCAGATCGGAATCCGAGGTCGAACCGAATCGGAATCAGAATCCATCGAGATCAAATCGCATCGAATCAGAGAAATCAAAATGTCGGCTACAAGCAAGAATTACCGCAGGCAAGAGTGACTTTTGGGGCGCGGCTTCAGGGGGGGCGCGAGGGGGCCAAACCCGGGAGCGCAAGCCGCTGCCACCGCTTCGCGTTCGGCGATCGGGGGACCTCGTTGGGCCCGCACCAAAGGGTCACTCCAGCGAGAGGTCACTCCTACGTCCAGCCGAAAACGAGCCCTGCCGTCTCCGCCGCGGTCCAGCGCTGGCCCGCTGCGCCGAGGCTGGCCGACACGGACACCCCGCCGCGTCGGAGCGCGGGCAGCGGCGCGCCGCGGAAGGCGGGCGGCCGCCGCCCCTTCGCCCTTCGCTCGCCGTCGCGCGGCGGCGACCTCGGAAGCAGAAACAACACTCCTCCTCCTCCTCCTCCTCCTCGTCCTCCTCCTCCTCCTCCTCCTCCTCCTCCTCCTCCTCCTCATCCTCATCCTCATCCTCATCCTCATCCTCATCCTCATCCTCATCCGCCTCCTCCTCCTCCTCCTCCTCCTCCTCCTCCTCCTCCTCCTGCTTCACCCTTCGTCCTCTTCCTCCTCCTCCTCCTGCTTCTTCCTCCTCCTCTTCCTCCTCCTCCATTCCCTTTCCTTATAAATAATTTCTCCCTGTCGCACCCCAAGACTTGTGTTTAGGGCGGGCCAGGCTTTTCGCCTGAGACTTCCTCACCATGTATGACTCTGAAGCTTAAAAGTTGGCAACAGTTTCACAAATGGAGGGCGGGCGGTTCACAAAACGTGGCTCTCGCCTCAGCGCCGCGCACATTCTTTTCAAATGTTTGCAAGTGCTTCACGGATTGAGAGCGGGTGGTTTTCAAAATGTGGCTCTCGCCTTAGCGCGGCGCATTTTCGTTTTTTGACAATGTGCAAGAGTTTCACGGATTGAGGGCGGGTGGTTTTCAAAATGTGGCGCTCACCCTAGCGCGGCGCACATTCCTTTTAGAAAGTTGCAAGAGCTTCACGGATTGAGGGCGGGTGGTTTTCAAAATGTGGCTCTCGCATTAGCGCGGCGCTCATTCGTTTGCAAGAGCTTCACGGATTGAAAGCGGGTGGTTTTCAAAATGTGGCCCTCGCATTAGCGCGGCGCACTTTCGTTTTAACACTGTGCAAGAGTTTCACGGATTGAGGGCGGGTGGTTTTCAAAATGTGGCGCTCACCCTAGCGCGGCGCACGCTCCTTCTAGAAAATTGCAAGAGCTTCACGGATTGAGGGCGGGTGGTTTTCAAAATGTGGCTCTCGCATTAGCGCGGCGCACATTCGTTAAAAAATGCAAGAGCTTCACGGATTGAGGGCGGCTCCTTTTCAAAATGTGGCTCTCGCCTTAGCGCCGCGCACATGTTTAAGAGTTTCACGGAATCCCATGATCAACGTACCAGAGCTGAAGTTTGGAAGGATTCTGGATTATGCGAGTGTAGCAGTTACGTTGGTTCGCTGTGTTGAAGTCCCAGGAATGGCGTCCTGGCATGATTCAGGATGGTCAGGATGATCCGTGGCGCTGGAATCCCGACAACAATGTTTTGGCATGCTTCAGGCTCTTTTTTTCAAACGGTTGTCTTCCAACGAGGCAGTTCCCTCAATGGAAATGAACCGCTGTAGGAGCCTATGAAGAGGGAGTTCGGAGGGAGGGTTTACTCCAACATCGTCAATGACTATTGGGTTTACACTGGTCCTCCCCCGCAGAAGACCAGATGCACACTAGAGCCACTCGCAGTCCCAGATCTCTGACGCTCTGATCTCTTCAGCCCTGGCGGTCTGTCCTGGGTCTCGGCCTCCGGGGGCCGTCTTCGGGCCACGGGGTCATCAGACATGGATGTGCGGGCCGACAAGCTGGCCCCGGCATACACAGTGTAGCACAGGCGGGAGACACGGGTTTGCAGCAAGGCCTCCCAAGCTCCGCAGCCGTTCTTGGCCTCAGAGGCCTCGGAAGGGGCCGTGCTAGCAGCACGCATTTCCTGTACACCCTGCGAAATGCTTAAGAAATCATGGGTTAAGAAATTCATAGTCTCAGAACTTGAATTTAAACCCAACATTTCTATTAAAATCTTAGGATTTACATTGAAACATGAAGAATAATCGAGACTCTGGCCGAAAACTTAAGTTTTCTTAAGCATCGCCTAAGGTGTACACGCGTTGAGCTCATGAAGAAGTCCTTCCGGGGTCGTCAGACATGGGTGCGGGCCGACAAACCGGCCCCGGGGAAAAGGTCGGAACCTCTGGGGCCGCGGATCGGAATCGGGTCGGGCGAAAGGGGTGGATAGCAAAGGGGGGGTTTCAGAATCAGCTCACGTAGCTGATTTTCCCAGCGCCTTCCGGCGCCGGAGGCGCATATGTATCGAGGAGTGGACCCCTCGGTGGGGCCGAAACCAGCTGCATGCAGCTAATTTCGTCACCCCCCCTTTCCCAATCCCCCCCTTTTCGTCCGGCCCGACGGAAGCAACAGCCCGGCGGATGCCAGGGCCCGACTCCGCCGCAGGGCCTACCCCCCACGATTTCTGGGGGGGAGGGTGGGGCTCACTGCGCTCGGGAGCTCCCGAGCGAAGTGCACCCCACCCTTCCCCTCAGATATCGTGGGGGGTATAGGGGTGGGGTTCGCACGTGGCCCCCTTTCTTTTCTGCTTCCACAGATCGCAGCCCCCCTCACAGTCGACCTGTGGAGGGGGGTCATCCCCTTTTGTCAGCCCACGGTGCGGCTTTGCGCAGGCTGCACACCGTGGACCCGCGACAGGCCCCCCTCCCCAAAACGGGGCATCCGAGCGTGCGCTCCCTCGGACAGAACACTGAGTAAACTGAGAAACGGACGATCGCTGGCGCACTGACGATAGGAGGAGGAGGAGGAGGAGGAGGAGGAGGAGGAGGAGGAGGAGGACGAAGGGAGGAGGACGAAGAGGAGGAGGAGGAGGAGGAGGAGGAGAGGAGGAGGAGGAGGGGAGGAGGAAGGAGGAGGAGGAGGGGGAGAGGAGGAGGAGGAGGAGGAGGAGGAAGGAGGAGGAGGAGGAGGAGGAGGCCCCCACACACAGAAGTGCAACACCACCCTGCCCCCGAGCCGCCCGAGCACGCGGGCGGGCCCCCCGGGGAGCGGGGCGGGCACCCCCGGGGGGGGGGGGGGGCCGGCGGCCGCGGCATGCTAGCGGTCCGCCCCTCGCCGGGGCGCGAGGCGCGGGCGGGACGCGGGAGCACCCCGCGGGGCAACACCGCGGCGCGGGCGGGCCGCGGCACGCCGGGCGCGCGAGTGGCGGCCTCCTCCTCCTCCTCCTCCTCCTCCCTCCTCCTCCTCCTCCTCCTCCTCCTCCTCCTCCTCCTCCTCCTCCTCCTCCTCCTCCTCCTCCCCCTCCTCCTCCGCCTCCTCCTCCTCCTCCTCCTCCTCCTCCTCCTCCTCCTCCTCCTCCTCTGTCTCTGCATCTGCCGGCCCCAAAACCCGTCGCTTCGGGGCTGGCGGCCGCGGCATGCAGGGCGCGGGAGGCGGGCCGGGAGCTTCTCTCTCTCTCTCTCTCTGCATCTGCCGGCCCCGACCTGTCGGGCCGGGGAAGGAGGCACGCCTGAGCATACGGCCATCCTGCTACCACGAGGAGCGCTGAGCCAGGAACGAGGCAGGGCTTCTCTCTCGCTACGGCGGGCCTCCGCCATCCGCACGAGCTCCTCGACCCGGACCTTGTGAGCTCGAAGCTGTCCTTACCTCAGCTTCCCGACTGTCGAGGGTCCGTGCGGACTTCTTCGGTCCCTCCGCTTGCTCTTCAAGGCGAGCAGCGGCATCGGCGTTCTTTGCTCCCCTGGAAACTCAAGAGGAACAAAAACATGCAGAAACACATGTCCGCTGAGGTCCGTGCGGATTTGCCATGATCGACGGATTGGGCAGTTGCTTTGTCATGCTGTGTGCTTCTTTCTCGCCGCCCAGCAGGTGACGGCGTGCCTCCTTAGTGAATCGGAGGAGGAGGAGGAGGAGGAGGAGGAGGAGGAGGAGGAGGAGGAGCTGCCCCACCTGTGGCAGCTTGGACTAGCCGCGCAGCTGTTGGATACACCTGTCTCCGGCGCCCGAGGCCGCCTGCGCACTCCTCGCGGCAGAGACTCCCTACGCCTGAAGCCTCCTACCGCGCTCCGCCCCCGCGGCCGCCCTCCTGTAAACATCCAGCGGATTCCTATCCTCGCTCAGCCCCGAGCCAACTCCTCCTCCTCCTCCTCCTCCTCCTCCTCCTCCTCCTCCTCCTCCTCCTCCTCCTCCTCCTCCTCCACCTCCCCCTCCTCCCCCTTCCTCCTCGTCCCCTGGTCCCTCAAGGATGACCATTGGCCCCCCTCCCCCTTCCTCCTCCCCCTTCAGGGCGGCCCCGCCTCGTCACCCATAGTCCCAATTGTGCACCCCTAGAGGGCAGCTGTTTAACACATAGGACTGTTCAACATACGGGATGCTTAATACATGATTCATGCATGAATCCGTTTATGCATGAACTCATCGTTGCTTATGATACTGAACCCTGCATCTTAAATGCATGATCCGCACGCGGACCATGTATTAAAGACGGCTCTGCAGTTACCAGTTCAGGCGCGGCCCTCGGCCATCCCTGCGCGTCGGCGTCCGCCCCCTCGCTGCTCCGCAAACAAAAAAATGGTTCGACCTCCTCGCCGTCGAGGCTGCGCGGCCCCCGTCCTTCCTGGTGCCCTATTTTTTTTCCTGGCGGGCGTGTGCGGCCACCCGCCAAACATGTAGCACCAAGAGAAACAAACTGGGCGCAACAACAACCGCTGCCAAAACACGACAGTGTCCAGAAACGACAGCGGCCGCTGTTGGGCAGGCGGCGTCCTGTCTCAAGTGGACAACGCCCTCGGCGACACCGACAGCGAGGCCTGTTCAAAATGGGCAGAAGCTGCTGTCGGTCTTTCTTTCCCCGGGCATGTCCTCCTACAGGCCGATTTGAGACGAAAAAGTAAAAATAACCCAAGCGTGCTCAGAAATGATCAACAATAGTCGACACATTGTCCCCGGACTATCTTGAAACTGTTTTTGAAGACTCCTCCTGTAGAGGGACACGCCCGACTGAACCCTATAGCCCCTCCGATCGTCCCGGGAGCTTGCTGCACTGCTGAAGGGGCCCCAGGACACACAAATAAATACACACAAATAAAAATATCCCCCATATTTTCCATATTTTCGCATATTTCCTGGGAATCGACGAATAATTGTGTCTGTGTGTTTTTTCCCCTCTTGAACTGCCCCCGGACCTCGAGGCGACGCCCTGGCCCGTGGACCCGCGCACGGACGGCCACGTGGATGCGGAGCCCGCGGGCAGGCCCTGCTCCTGCGCCACTGGGCGACCGAGCGCCCACGCCTCCCGCGACGCCGGCGCGCACAGGCGGCAGACGCCGCAGTAGCACCGGCGCTGCGCCGTGATCCGCCGGCCCAGATGGGCCCAGACCCAGACCTTCCAGAGAGCTATTTTTTAGCACTGGAAACCTAAAAACCTAAAAAACGAGACGAAACAGCCTAAAACCAAGACGTAAAATAGCTCTGGGATAGGTTTTTACGTCGGGTGCTATTTTTTAGCCCTCCTGGAAGGTCAGGGGACCCAGACCCTCCCGCGAGTTGTGGGAAAATCACGCCCGGAGGTCTTTCGCTACTCTTTCGGCCTCCGGGGGCGCTCAACCAGGCCTCGAGGCCGTCAGGGAACGACTCCTCCTCCTCCTCCTCCTCCTCCTCCTCCTCCTCCTCCTCCTCCTCCTCCTCCTCCTCCTCCTCCTCCTCCTCCTCCTCCTCCTCCTCGACTCAGGATGAGAGACCGGTCCCGGGTCCCGGGGAAAAGGGTCCAGACCTCTCGGGGTCGACGCTGCGAGAAGGTCACGACGTCGGGGGTCTGGGGGGTAATCCAGAACCTCCTCGATCCCCAGATCTCCGACGGCCTGGTCTCTTCAACCGGCGGTTCGCCCCGGACTTCGGCCCCCGGGACACGCTCCTGGGCCCCGAGGCTATCCGAGCCGGAGGCCTGACGAAATGCCACCCCCAGGAAAGGGCTGGTGCCTCCGGGGCCGCGGAGTGAGAAAGAGTCACGGCGCCGGATGTCTGGGGTCCACGATCCTCCCTCCTCCTCGCTTCTCCTCCTCGATGCTCCTCCTCCTCCTCCTCCTCCTCCTCCTCCACCTCCTCCTCCTCCTCCTCCTCCTCCGCCCTCCTCCTCCTCCTCCGTCCTCCTCCTCCTCCTCCCCCTCCTCCTCCTCCTCCTCCTCCTCCTTCTCGATCCTCCCTCCTCCTCGATCCTCCTCCACTCCTCTTCCTTATAGATAACTCCTCCCTGTCGCACCTCAAGACCAGTTGAAAGAGTGGACTGGGCGTTTCGCCTGAGACTTCCTCACCGTGTACGACCCTGATGCTTCAAAACTGTCAACAGTCTCACAGATGGAGGGCGGGTTGCTTCCAAAATGTGGCTCTCGCCTTAGCGCCGCGCACATTCGCTGTACAGTTGCAAGAGCGTCACGGATTGAGGACGGGTCGTTTCAAAATGTGGCTCTCGCCTTGGCGCCGCGCACATTCGTTTACTTTTTCTAATGTGCAAGAGCTTCACGGATTGAGGGCGGTTGGTTTTCAATATTTGGCGATCGCTTTAGCAGACGCACATTCGTTCTGAAAAATGGAAGAACTTCACGGATTGAGGGCAGGTCGTTTTCAAAATGTGGCTCTCGCCTCGGCGCCGCGCACACTCGTTCAAAACATGTGCAGCAAGTTTCATTGATTGAGGGCTGCTCCTTTTCAAAATGTGGCTCTCGCTTTAACGCCGCGCACGTTCATCCCCAAAAAATGCCAGAGTTTCACTGGCTCTCATGGTTAACGTACCAGACACGGCATGTGGAAACGATTCAGGACTGTCAGGGCGCAAAGGTCACGTGGATTCGCGGTGTTGAAGTCCCAGGACTGGTGTTTTGGCACGACTCCGGATCGCCAAAACGTAGTTGGGCGCTAGATGTATCTGAGGGCTCTGATCGATGGCGTAGCCCCTCGTCTGTCCTCCGCCTGTTGTCCCTCCCCATGCATCCTCCTCCGTACAGGGCAGTTCTTAATACATAGGATCTTGTTTGAAAAGATGTTTTAAACAAGACTAAGTTATGAATTCAATTATGCCTGAACTCATCGTTGTTTTTAATACTAAATCCCTGCATGTTTAATACATCATCCGCACGCGGAGCACGTATTAAAAACGGCTCTGTATCTACTATGGCTGCAGCTGCGAGCCTCTGGCTCGCCGAGGTTTTTGGGGGGGCGCCATAGCACGCGCCGTGCCAGGGCCCCCGGGCAGCCGGACCCAAGGGCGCACTCGGCTGCCGGGGCCCCCACTCCTGGCGAAGCGGCGGCTCCCGGGAGGAGTAAATCCCGCCTCGGGGATGCGGAGGCGGGGGTCTCGTGAAGGCAGAGCACTCGACATGCTGTCGTTCCAATCGGATTCGACGGAATCTCACTTCGTCTGAAACGTTGCGACACATCGCCCACGTGATCGTCGGGCGGCGGTAGTGCCATCTCTTACCATCACTGGTGGAACATCGAGCTCATGGGAGCGCTTAGTTGTGACGACGAGCTGTTCGCGTATCGAACGACGGGCTGCTTTCGGCCTCGCCCCCAGCGCTGCCGTCCTCGGCGCCTGCTTCGGGTCAGAACTCGGGCCTCTGGCGGCATTTCGGGAAGATCTGGGCACCCCCGGAAATCGATCGACGACACCTAGCTTTAGGTCGGGCCTGTCAACCTACAGGGGGATTTGGGCGACAAAAATTTAGACATCCGAAAAAATATTCCCCTAGATGCTCAAAAATAGAAAAAATCGTCCCCAGACTATCTTTTGATTCTTTTGGAATTTTAGAATTTTCCCCCTGCAGAGGGACAGGCCCGACTCAAACCCAGCTGCTGGAAGGCACCAAACCGCCAAGAGCCGACGAGAGCGCACGGAAACGTCGACCCTCGAGGCCCCCTTCCGTCCGTCGGTGATGCTCGCCCTGCACTGGGTTTAGGTCGGGCATGTCCCCCTACAGGCAGAATTTGGGCGGAAAGTGACACATATTCAAAAAATACTCCAAAATGGTTTTTATGTAATGTCCCCAGGCTGATTTTTTTAAATACTATTTTGAATATTCCTCCTGCAGAGGGACAGGCCCGACTTCATCCTGGGTCCGTCCTCAGCCGCAGCCTTCCCGGCGAAAACCGAAAGGGCGGGCGGTCGATCGCAGAGCGTCTTGGGTGGAGGCGCTCTCCTGCTCCGCCTGCTTGGCCTTGTGGATGTCGCGAACTGCCACCCTCAGCTGTGCGACCTGCGGCGGGGCGGATGGAAACCGGCTCAGGAGGGCTCCTGGGCAGGGTGAAGCACCCGGGCCGCGATCGGCGACTGGCGATTCGGGGACAACGCTTCCGCCTCTGAGCCAACCCCCAGAAGTTCTGCCTGGAGGGCATCTGGAGGGCCCTGGAACTCTCTCGAGGCCTCCGCGAGGCCTCCGCGAGGTCCCCCGGGGCCCGAGAAAACCGGAGGAAAAAACCCGAAAACCCTCGCCGCGACCCTGTCGCCCGGGCACACGCTGACACAGATCCGGGAAAGCGCCCCCCGAAATGTGCAGCCCGTGCCGCCTGCTTCGGCGACGGGGAGCGCCGAGTTTCGCATGGAAGCAGGACCCGTCACGTAATCCACGCGCCATGATCAACCCATGTTTGCGCCTGCGTAAATCGTGATCCAGATCCGGGCCTCTAAGGAACCTGCGCCCTCCCCCCTCCGGGCCCCTCGAGGGTGTGCAGGTTCCGGCCCCCGCCTGCGCCTCTCCTCCTTCTCCTGCTCCTCCTCCTCCTCCTCCCTCCTCCTCTCCTCCTCCTCCTCTCTCCTCCTCCTCTCTCCCTCCTCCTCCTCCTCCTCCTCCTCCTCCTCCTCCTCCTCCTCCTCTCCTCCTCCTCCTCTCCTCCTCCACCCTCCTCCTCCTCCTCCTCCTCCTCCTCCTCCTCCTCCTCCTCCTCCTCCTCCTCCTCCTCCCCCTCCTCCTCCTCCTCCTCCTCCTCCTCCTCCTCCTCCCCTCCTCCTCCTCCTCCTCCTCCTCCTCCTCCTCCTCCTCCTCCTCCCCCTGGCACCGTCAGCAGCACTCGGATGAGCACGGCCGATATAGCACCTCCCCAGGGTCCATCCTGCCCCGCCTCACGAGGCGGGCCCAAGCCGTGGCGACAGCAACGCCCAGACAGGGGACGACGGCAAGCCTTGCAGGCAGAAGTGATAGTGTAGGGGCCTCCCAGATGGGGTCGGAGTAGATGTGGTCGGAGGATCGCGCCGCATCGCCGCTACATCGGCGATACATCGACGATGCGTCGGCGATGCGGCGATGCATCGACGATGCGTCGGCGACGCATCGGCGACGCCTGCGTGGACAGTATCGGGCTGCACATCGAGCCACATCCCCGATGCATCGGCAATGCGGCGCGATCCTCCGAACCCATCTACTCCGACCCCAGCTGGGAGGCCTAGATCGTAAGTATGCGCGATCAGGATGCAAGAACCTTGGACGCACGTGTTGAAGCATGTCCGAGCGCGGCGGACCATCGGAAGTCGTCAAGGATGGTCCAAAGAGTCACGGATGCGAGTCGGCGGCGAGCGAGGGGGGGAAGCGAGGAGGAGGAGGCCTTCTCAGAGGGCGGCGGGGCTTCTCAGAAGTTCTCGGGCCTTCTGAGCAGTTGTCTGTGCTTCCGCGGAAGACTCAAGAAACTTCCCAGAAGACCGGGGGACTTCCGAGCCTTCTGAGAAGCCCCGCCCCCTCTCAATTCCCCCTGGGCTCGCCGCCAATAGATTGGGTCGGAGGATCGCGCCGCCTCGCCGATGCTCCGGCGAGGTGCGGCTCGACGTGGCGCCCGATGTTCTCCGCGCCGATGCATCGCCGATGCATCGCCGACGCCACCAGTGCGCCCCCGATGCATCGCCGATGCATCGCCGATGCGGCACGATGCTTCGACCCTGGCCACTCGGGCCCCATCGGGGAGGCCTCCACCGCTCCGCGCGCGAGCAGAAAGCGCCCCGGCGGGGCGGCTCGTGCGTCCATATGGCCCAGGGCGTCCCCAGGAGTGCCCCGGGGAGGCCCACGGGGCCTGCAGAGCACCTCAGGGGATCAGGAGGAGGGATGATGAGGAAAGGAGGCGGAGGATGAAGGATGGAGGAGGAGGAGGAGGAGGAGGAGGAGGAGGAGGAGGAGGAGGAGGAGGAGGAGGAAGGGGAGGAGGAGGAGGAGGAGGAGGAGGAGAAGGAGGAGGAGGAGGAGGAGGGGGAAGGTAGACTCCGGCGGGGGGGGGGGGATGCACCCACCCCCAATGGCCTCCTCGTCGCCGACGGAGGCCCGACAGCCCAGCCCGCCCAGGAACGTGCGCGGTTTCGCTCTCGAGGGCCTGTCGCCGGTCTGTCAGCGATGTATCGCCGATTTCAGGTCGATGTTTCCCCCCCTGAGCTAGTTCCCCTCCCCCCCCCCCCGAACGTTGCCCATCAGTCCTCGGGATTCCTGGGCAAGCCTGGAGGGCCTCCAGAGCAACCCTCACGAGGCTGCACCCCCAATCGCCCAATTCTAAGGATGGGCACCCACCCCCCATCGCCCGATCGCCCAGTGGTAAGGATGGGCCCCGACCCCAGACCACATCGCCCAATGGACTCAGGGGGGGATGCACCCACCCCCATTCGCACAACGGTGAGGATGGGCACCCCTTGGGAACTCGCGACTGCAGGTCGGTCCGTCGTCGTCGTCGTCGTCGTCGTCATCGTCGTCGTCGTCGTCGTCGTCGTCGTCGTCGTCGTCGTCGTCGTCGTCGTCGTCGTCGTCGTCGTCCTTGCCATCGGCTTCGACGGCAGGTCTCCCGACCTCGTGCGCAGGTCGCCCCGCGCTGCTTGCACCGCGCGGCGGCCTGCGCGCAAACCCCGCGGGCGACTCTGACGCTGGAGGAGCGCAGTTATCTGAAGGGGCCCTGGGACACACAAATTAATAGGCACAAGTCCCAGGATTCCCCATGTTCTCATATGTTCTGGATGTTCGTCGTTCCCCCCCCCCACATCGCATCTTTTCCCACATCTTCCTGGGGATCGACTACGAAATGTGTCTGTGTGCGGTTTCCCCTCCTGACTATCGCTGTCCAGCGGCCGCGAAACGCGCGGAGGACGGCCACCTTCGCGCCCCCGCGGGCGACCCCTGCGGAAGCCTCGGCCCTCGAACTTTCGAGGCACCGAGACGAAGCCAAGGACGAGGATGACATCGGGTGAGGACACCGGGTCGGACCTGGGCCAGAAGAACATCCCTCTAAGAATATGAGACCCTCTCCCGGCCAAAGCAAGCAGAGCATCATAGGGTACCCTCCCCAGGGTGCATAAGAAATCCAACAAACACGAAGAACACGAAAGTACCCTCCCCGGAAACCGACCTCGATCTTATACCCCGATCCGAATATCAGTCGAGACTCTCTCTGCGATCCGGGGGCTCTGGAGGACGCATCGGGCGCCGCTGAGAGCGCCACAGAACGCCCCGGAACGGCTTGATCCTCGTCCTAGCCCCGTCCGATCGCGGCACCCTTCCGCCGGCCCCGAAGACCGTGGAGCTCTTCAGCCGGCGTTCGCCGGCCGATGCCAAGGCCGCGTTCAGCCTGCCCTCGCTAACGGCGAGGCCCAGCGACTCCGCGTCCCGGACGTCTATCTTGCCGAGCTTCTCGTGGACCCTCCGCAGATCCTGCGGGCAAGGCTTACGGGCAGGTCGGGCCTGTCCCCCTACAGGCGGATCTTGGCCGAAAAAACTCCCCCCTGCTAAAAAATGTCTGTTTTTGTATTAAAAAAGTCCCCTGACCATTTTCTTACTAGTTTTGAATATTCCTCCTGTAGAGGGACACGCCCGACTTAAGCTTACAGGGCAGTTTTTTTAATACATGGGATTTTTTGCAAGAGTATAGGATTTGAATACATGATTAATGTATTATAAATGTATGCATGAACTCATGTATTATAAATGTATGCACGAGTGCCGTTTTTAATACATGATCCACACGTGGAGCATGTATTAAAAACGGCACTGTACCCTGAGCTCCGGGCGTCGCAGCTACTTCACACCGCGCGTGTCCGCCTGGCTCCGGGCCCTGGGCCCCGGGGGCCCCACGGAGCGATATCTGGCTCGAGAGCCGCTGCGGAGAGGTGAGCTCGAAGGCACTGGCAGCGACTTCCAGCGGCTGTGCTAGAGGGCAGAATCTCCACACCGATGATAACCACCCCGACACGCGAAGCCGTTCAGTAAGCCCACCCGAAGAAGGAGTGAAGCAGGACAGGGCTGCTTAGGAAACGCCCAGGGCCGCTTAGTTAACGCCGATTGTCCGGTCTGGGTGGTTTTTCCTCCCTTGAGATGTTGCATTCGTGTTCGTGACGTCGGATTTCATGGCGGGGCTGCGCACATGCACGTCGGTCGGAAGAGGTAGGTAGGAACACGTCAGTAGGAAGGCGGATCAAGTAGATTGGACCCAGGCCTGAAATGAGAATAAGAAAACACGACACAAGCATATCGGTGCATGAAGTAGGAAGGCGCTTTAAGTAGATTGGGATCTGGGCATCCAAAAATACACGTCGTTCATTTCTAGTCGTGCTCATTTCTAACTGTGCTCGCTTCTATTTGTTCCTGGCCCCCTAGCGGCCAGGAAAAAGCAAGGATGGAACAATTAGAAATGAAAGGATCTTGGCCCCCCAAAAAATCCAGGAACTTTCGAAGAATTAGACAGGAACAGTGTGTACCTACTTTCAACGACCGGCGTGTGCAGCCGCAGGAAGCAGTCCCCGCCGGCCTCGGCAGGCCCTGTGCGGCAAGGCACCACAAAGACCGCCCCGGACACTCAGGCCCCCCCCTGAAAAGGGCAGCCAGGGACTGCCTCCAAAGGCTGCCCGTGCGCAACCAAAAACGCCCTCGCCGTGCCTTCGACTCACCACATGGACCGTCAGAGGTCAGAACATATGAATCCTCTTCCCCCTGCTCCTCCTACTCCTCCTCCTCATCATCATCCGCCTCCTCCTCCTCCTCATCCTCCTCTTTCTCCTCCTCCTCCTTCTTCTCCTCCTCCTCCTCCTCCTCCTCCTCCTCCTCCTTCTCCTCCTTCTCCTCCTCATCATCCTCCTCCTAATCATCATCAGCATCATCATCCTCACCATCATCATCTATCATCATCATCATCATCATCATCATCGTCATCATCATCATCAGCATCATCACCATCATCATCCTCACATCTCTCATCATCATCCTCAGCATCGTCATCGCTATCGGCTATTCATCATCATCATCATCATCATCATCATCATCATCATCATCATCATCATCATCATCATCATCATCATCATCATAAGCATCATCATCACCATCATCATCATCGTCGTCATCATCATCAGCATCTGCAGCATCTTCACCCTCATCCTCATCATCGTCCTCATCCTCGTCCTCGTCCTCGTCCTCGTCCTCATCCTCATGCTCATCCACGTCCTCCTCCTCCTCATCATCATCAGCATCATCATCGTCATCATCATCTTCAGCAGCAGCCTCAGCATCATCATCATCAACATCAGTATCATCATCAACATCAGCGTCATCAACAAAACAACAACAACCACGACAACAACATCATCATCATCAACATCAGCGTAAACATCATCATCAGCAGCATAATCATCTCATCCTTCTCCTCCTCCTTCTCATCATCATCGCCAGCAGTATCGTCATCAGTATCATCATCATAAACAACATCAGCCTCAGCATCATCAGCATCAGCAGCAGCATCAGCATCAACATCAGCAGCAACAGCATCAGCATCATCATCAGCATCAGCATCATCATCAACATCAGCATCTCAGAATCATCATCATCATTATCATCATCAGCAGCATCGTCATCATCATCAGCAGCATCGTCGTCATCGTCATCATCATCAGCAGCAGCACCAACATCAGCATCAGCAGCAGCATCAGCATCAGCATCATCAACAGCAGCATCCTCACTATCATTATCATCATCATTGTCGTCGTCATCAGCAGCATCCGCATCATCATCAACATCAGCATCATCATCAGCAGCAGCATCGTCATTATCCCCTTCTCCTCCTCCTCCTCCTCCTCCTCCTCCACATCGTCATCAGAATCATCATCATAATCATCATCAGCAGCAGCATCATCATCAGTTTCAGCAGCGTCAGCATCAGCATCAGCATCAGCAACAGCATCATCATCAGCAGCAGCAGCATCGTCAAAAGTACCATCATCAGCATCATCATTGCTACGGCGTTGGGAACACATGCCCGGGGCGTTGGAGGAGGGGCCACGACAAAGGGCCCGCCGGACGTCCGTGAGCGGGGGAGGATTCTCAACGCGGGTGGGGAAGAGCAGGGCGCCTTCGGTGGCAACTCATGGGAGCCTCCTATACCGTCTTGTCGGCTCCTGATAAACGACGCTGGTCGACGCTACATCGACGCTAATCGACGCGAATCGACGCGAAATCGACACCAGTCGACGCCAGCCCAGGCTGAATCGGCGCTATCTCACCGACTCCCAAGCGCGCTACTCGACGCTCCTCGAGGCTGAAGACGGCATTCAGAGGGAATATTAGGCTCCCATGATTGCCACCGCACCATCCGGAGTAGCTTGTTGACGGCCCCAGGACCCAATATATAATTGCCACCGCACCATCCGGAGTAGCTTGTTGACGGCCCCGGGACCCAATGAGGGCCCCTGGAGGCCGGCAGTTGCCCGAGACCTGCCGCCGTGACTCTCTCTCGCAACGCCAGGGGTGACCACCTACCAGACCACCCCCAACCCAACCCGAAGGCCCGAAGCTCGGGTTGGGGGAGGGGTAATTACGGGTTCCAAGTGTGTGCTTCTCAATGCTCCCCGACCCCCCCACGCTGGAAATTCGGGTCGGGCGAAAGGGGGGGATAGCAAAGGGGGGGGGGAGAATCAGCTCACGTAGCTGATTTTCCCGGCGCCTCCCGGCGCCGGAGGCGGCCATGTATCGAGGAATGGGCCCCTCGGTGAGGCCGAAACCAGCTGCATGCAGCAAATTTCGTACCCCCCCCTTTCCCAATCCCCCCCTTTCGCCCGGCCCGAGAAATGGATGTAAAATTGAGGCCTTCGGGTTGGGTCGGGTGGCTTGGTGGGTGGTGAAAGAGGTGGGGGGAAGACCCTGCCAGGTCCTGCCCGCTCCAGAGTGGCTTTGCCTTTTGGTGGTCCCCAAACGTGGTGGTGAGAACACCCGGTGGTGAGTTTTGGGCGGTTTGGGTAATCGTTTTCGAGCGCTGGCTGGCCCAGGAAACGCAAAACCTCGTGGCGACCGCGTGTCCCCAAACCTGGTGGCGACCCAGAATTATTTCTTTGGGGAATCGGGGTCACCACCGGGTGTCTCACCACCTGGTTTGGAGACCACCAAGCCTTGTGGAGCAGGCTGTACAGGGAGGTCGCGTCGCCCGGCATGGACATGGTCCCACGGCTCGGGCGCTACTAGAAGTGGTCCTGGTCCAAAGTGTCCCCAGCTCTTCCTGCCATGTTGGAGCCCCTGGGGCCCTCCGAGCCTCGTGAGGGGTGCTCTGGAGGCCCTCCGGGTTTGCCCGGCAATCCTGAGGACCGAGGTCGGCGGCGAGCGAGGGGATGCGAGGGGGGCAGGTGAGAAGGGGCGGGCCTTCTCAGAAGGCTCGGAAGGCCCCCGGCCTTCTGAGAAGTTTTCTAAGCCTTCCCCGAAGACACACACAAAATTTCTCAGAAGGCGCAAAGGCTTGTGAGAAGTCCTGCCAGCCTTCTGAGTGAGAGGGCCTTCTCCTTCTCACTTCCCCCCCTCACTTGCCGCCGATGAGGGGCAACGTTCGGGGGTGGACCGGCTCAGGGGGGGGAAGCATCGACCTGGCATCGGCGATGCCCTGCTGCTGCTGCTGGGGGGTGGATGCCTTCCCCCCTGAGCCTATCCCCCCCCCCCCTCCACCGTTGCCGCGGGAGGCCCCCTGGGCCTCCCCTGGGGACACCCTGGGCCAGGGGCGCACGAGCGGCCCCGCCGGCCAGCGCCGCCCGCGCGGGCCCGCGCTGGCGTGCGCGCGCGCGCGGAGCCGCGGAGGCCTCCCCGATGGGGCCCGAGTGGCCGGGGTCGAAGCAGCGCGCCGCATCGGCGATGCATCGGCGATGCCTCGGGGGCGCACTGGTGGCGCCGGCGATGCATCGGCGATGCATCGGCGTGGAGAACATCGGGCTCCACGCCGAGCCGCACGTCGCCGGAGCATCGGCGAGGCGGCGCGATCCTCCGACGATGTTGCTGGCGGCGAGCCCGGGGGGGAGTGAGAAGAGGAGGGCCTTGTCAAAGGCTCGTGAGTCCCCGGGCCTCCTGGAAAGCTTCTCGAGCCTTCCAGGCAAACACGGAACACTTCTGCCCAGAAGGCACGGGAGCTCTTGAGAGGAAGGCCCGCCGCCTTCCGAGAAGGACTCCTCATGTTCTCCCTTGCCCCCCCGTCGCTCGCCGCCGAATCCAGCCCTCTTCTTGGGAAATGAAGAGGTACCGAACCTCTCTCGGGGTGCGTTCTGGCCAGGATCTCGGAGGCGAACCCGGCGGTGGCGATGAGAACCTCCCAGGGGCGGCCCAAGAAGGCGTCCGTGGCACATCGCCGAAGCGTCGGCGAGGCGGCGCGACCCTCCGACCTCCTCCTGCTCGGTGCCAGGGGAGGAGGAGGAGGAGGAGGAGGAGGAGGAGGAGGAGGAGGAGAAGGAGGACGAGAAGGAGGAGCAGGAGGAGGACGAGGAGGAGGACGAGGAGGAGGCGGAGGAGGAGGACGAGGAGGAGGAGGACGAGGAGGAGGAGGACGAGGAGGAGGAGGAGGAGGAGGAGGAGGACGAGGAGGACGAGGAGGAGGATGGAGAGAGGAGGAGGAGGAGGAGGGCCAGTCGAGGACCCCATCTGGGAGGCCCCGAGGAGCGGGGCGGCCCCCCCGCTGGAAAAGCGCGCGCGGGGCGCGGCGGCCCTACAGGCCGCTGCGCCCTACAGGCGGGGCGCGGCGACCCGGCGGCGCCGCCGCCGCGCGGGGCGGCGGAGCGCGCACGCGCGGCGGAGCGCCTCTGGCCGCTGTGCCTTGGGCAAACATGGCGAGCTGGACCTTCCAGCTTCGCGACGTCCTCCTCCTCCTCCTCCTCCTCCTCCTCCTCTCTCGTCCTCCTCCTCCTCCTCCTCCTCCTCCTCCTCCTCCTCCTGCTTACGGCTTCCCTCCTCCGCCTCCTCCTGCCTTTCCCTCCTCCTCCTGCTCCTGCTCCTCCTCCTCCTCCTCCTCGCCTCCTCCTCCTGCTCCTCTCTCCTCCTCCTTCCTCCTCTCTCCTCCTCCCCTCCTCTCCTCCTACCTCCTCCTCTTTCTCCTCCTCCCCTCGTCATCAGCATCATCATCAACATCAGCAGCAGCATCAGCATCAGCACCAGCATCAGCATCATCATCAACATCAGCAACAGCAGCATCAGCATAAGCATGAGCATAAGCATCAGCATCATAATCAGCATCATCAGCATCGGCATCGGCATCAGCATCATCATCAGCATCATCAGCAGCATCACCAGCATCGTCAGCATCAGCAGCATCATCAGCATCATCATTAACATCAGCAGCAGCATCATCTTCATCATCGTCATCAGCATCAGCAGCAGCATCATCGTCAACAGCATCATCGGCATCATCAGCATCAGCAGCAGCAGCATCAGCATCATCATCAACATTAGCAGCATCATCAGCATTAGCCTCAGCATCAGCATCATCATCAGCAGCATCATCAGCAACAGCAGCATCATCAGCATCAGCATCAGCATCATTTGCATCATCACCAGCATCATCAGCAGCATCATCATCATCATCGTCAGCATCAGCAGCATCATTCTCATCAGCATCAGCATCGTCATCATCATCAGCATACCATCATTAGCAGCAGCAGCGCCATAAACAGCATCAACAGCATGATCAGCATCGTCATCATCGTCAGCATCACCACCATCATCCCCACCATCATCATCACCATCATCATCACCATCATCATCGTTAGCACCAGCATCAGCAGCAGCATCTGCATCATCGTCATCATCAGCATCAGCAGCAGCAGCGGTATCATCCGCCTCGTCCTCCCCCTCCTCCTCCTCCTCCTCCTCCTCCTCCTCCTCCTCCTCCTCCTCCTCTCTCTCTCTCTTCTTGGACTCGCGGTGGAGCGTCCACGATTTGCTACAGATGTCCCTGGAGGTCTCTGGACCCACCTCGATCTCTCTGGATCCACCTCGATCTACCTGGACCGACCTCGACCTTGGATAAAAGTCGTTAAGACCCTTGGGAGGGGGAAGCAGAGGAGGAGGAGGAGGCCTGCTCACACGCGGGCGCCCGCGGACCTCTCACGCCGTGATCGGCCCCCCCCACACGTGGCACGCAGAACCCTCGACCCCGTTCCCACTAAAGTTAGCCCGGGCGACGCGCCACTGTTTGATGGAGATCGCGCTGCAGATCGAATTTGGGAAACAAGAGGCTGCGTCAGTGTCCCCCCTACAGGGGGATTTTGGACGAAAAATCAAGAATACCCCAAAAATGCTCAAACATACCCGAAAATAATCAAAGAAACGTCCCCATACTATTTGTAACTATTTTTGAATATTCCTCCTGTAGAGGGACAGGCCCGACTTAACACTAAAGTCGGTTTTCCGACACAGGTCGTTTTTGCTGTTCGCCTAGGGGCCCAGAAGCGTCACCGCTGGAGGCCGAACCCGAGGAGGGCGTGCGCATGCTAAGAGAAAGCGACTGTCGAAGCAGCTCCGACCGATCGTCGGAGCGGAGGGGGAGGAGTGGGAGAAGGAGGAGGAGGAGGCGGAGGAGGAGGCGGAGGACGGGGACTGCGTCGGATCGACACTCTAGCCTACAGCTCTGAGCTCTGAGGAGAACGGGGAGGAGGATCAAAAGGAAGAGGAGGAGGAGGAGGAGGAGGAGGAGGCGGAGGCGGAGGCGGAGGCGAAGGCGGAGGAGAGCCACGGCTGCGGCGGCCACACGCGGCGACGACCTCGCCTTCAGGCAGTGCACCAGGCCCAGGCCCGCCAGCAGGCCCTCCAGACGCAGCGCCGGGGCGGCCCTCGGCAAGG